GTAACTAGAATATTACCATTTTCTCAAAATGAGGGACGTGCCAATATTTATCAGTGGAGTATCTATAATCGCAAAGATTAAGTCTGACAAAATCTTCAAATGCATCAGAACCATGAGGAAATGATTATTCCACTTACCGATGAAATCCATTTCCAACATGGTCTACACACATCAAGAAGTATATGTTGATATGTTTGATCTATGGGTTTCGGAAAAAATCGAAAGAAGCATTTACTTACCATGAATGCCACCCATAGCGATTTTCTTTATGTAAAAAAAATAGTATGCTCAATTATAAATAAAATATTTATCTATAAGAATACAGCCGAATCTCTATGGTGATTGCATGTTACCTTTAAAGTGAACGTGACCATCTCCAATCCGTGTTCAGCGACCTTTTTGCGGTTGGTAATCACAGCTTGCAATTTCTTTAAAAATTGGGTCTCATCATTGCAATCATTAAAGTCGATTCCCAATTTCTCACCACGACTACGGATTTCATGAATTGACATAGTTGCAAGTCTCTCCTCCACCTTTCCAAGGTCAGAGAGAGTATAGTAGTAATGACGAAGTAAAAAGTGAAATTGGACAGGAGTTGGAAATTTTGGCTCGCCTATTAAGGAAAAAATAATTACTGAGTATAACCCTACAAAGATAAGCGCTTGAGTTGACACTTACTTCCTCCATCAAATCCTCCTTCCTTATCATCAAACGAGTCACTAAAATATTTGTATAACTCCTGCGCTATTTTTATATTAAATTCTGAAGCATCTCCGCGGCCTTCATCCTTAAGTGACGATCAAGATACTTAGTAAACCGTTAATTTTTTCAATTGAAAATTGTTCCCGAGTCCTTGGGTACCGAATTAAATTTAAGTCAATTTACCAATGCAAACTTTTGAAGCTTTTTGATTGCTTCTGATCCAGCATTTTTTAATTTTTCTGGTTGCTCCTTCCACCTGTTTCACGTCGGTAAGTGTTAACTCATTGCTTTTTGCGTCACAAGGCTGATTAGGATCACGATATATTATTACTCACAGTTCAACGATGTGTTTGCACAAAGATGGAAACCCAGGTCTATTGGATTGTTAGGTATATTGTGAAATCAAGTGGAACTAGATGAAACCAAATCAATAAATATTTTACCTTCCGTATTGATCATTCGGAGGAAAGTAAGTCCCACCGAATATAGCTAATGATAGTTATAGACTTCAGTAATATACTCGCTAGGAAATTTGTTATCTCATATCACTTACGATACAACTCGGGCTGTGTGAAAACGATGCAATAATGAGTACTTTAAAAAATAATCCCAATTTTAAGCAGAAATTCAACTTACAGTCAAAAACACAGACATGGGCCATCCACCACCACCAGACGTATATTGAACAAAGAGCTTTGATACATCGTTGAGGAGTATTTGCAAAATATAATTTTTTTAAAAAAAAACATAAGATGCATAATTTAACATTAAAGAAATATGGTTACCATATACATGCGATCCACATCAGGTTGAACTTCTCTGTGCAAGCACAAAAAAACGTACATTTAATAAGATAAGGTTAATATAACAATTGCAATGCTTCACTCTCTAAAAACATACCTGTCGACTAAGAAAATCGTTGAATCGTCGTAAATAGTAAAAAAAATGAAATAGAAGTAGAAATAAACATACGTACCCTTAACATTGACAAAATTTTCATTCATAATTTTTGCAATGTTCGCATTTTCAAAGGATTCATGAGCCTGTAATGAGGTAATTTACACGCAAAATGAACGATTCTTCAGTTTTTCCCCAAACAATATATTGAAAAGTAGAAATAGGTCATAGACTTTCCATAACATGACACCAACTATATGGATAATTTACGCGAATCAAATAGTAATTAATCGAATCAGAAATTCAAATCAAGTAAGCTAAAGAGAAAAACTTACTGGCAGGTACTGTAACCAACGCTTAAAAATATCAATTTATTTTCTTTTCGAGCTTTTTGAAATGCCTCTTCTCCCCATGGATACCAATCGACTATAAAACGGACAATGAGAAAGTTTTATTGATACAATCCATTTTACGGTCCTTATCATTTACCGGGATTATTTGCATGTTGCTTTAATAGAAATGTAATTCATTAGCATTCGGGAAAATACTGAATCTTCTCAAATAAAACTGAAAATATTCTGGTACCAATAGATAGGGACTTTTCTCGTTCGCAAGCCTGTTTGGCTTATTCGGCGACTTTGAAAAACTTGTCGAACTTTCAGCAACATTACTTGACATGCTTCTCAAATCACAATTTTTAAATGAAAAAATGCGGTATTTGGTATAGGAAAAATGACGTGGACGTAATGTTTGTCCAAAAAATTTTGTGTTCGAGTAAGTAACACTACGGAAAAAATTCGTGTAGAATCTTGGGATCATTTGGAAAAATCCATATACAGTACACGTATCGCGAATATATCAGTTGTACATCATTTCCTATTACATAAATACAGTAAATTACGTTAGTGTGAATTAAGACATTATGATATCATTATTTGTAAACAAAAAGTTGTTTTATAATAATTCTAAAGTTATAAAAAAAAAAATGTAATGTTATAAAACAAGCAAGATGCAAACTTCTAATAGCTAATTAATAATATAATATAATATATATGTAATCTTTTTATATTTAATTCTAAGTTTCCTTTTAACGTAAGTATATTAATTATTTTCATTAATATATTAAATATTTATAATTGCAATAATTTATAAAACTTATAAATATTAATTATAAAAAAAAATATTATAAGCTTAACAATATGCTTATAATTATTATTTTATCGAAAAGTTATTATTCAAATAAAAATTTTAATAAAATACTGTAATATAATTTTATTTATTATTTATTTTTGTAAAAATTATTTATATATGAATTCTATAATGATATTTATATAATTAACTTATAGTTTACTTATTATTTGAAAATTAAAATCATTTTTATTTTTATTATAAAATATAAAATATAAAATTAATTCAAATTCAATTAGGCTGCATGAAGATAAGACCTCTGGTCTTCCCGATGATCGCAGGTTGAAAACAGGTTGAAGCACAGAAGGTTGTACAAGGAAAGGCTTCTGGTCTAACTCTGGTAAAAGCTCACAAAAATCTCAACTCAAACTGGCAACGACAGACTCTGTCACACAACCCAAAAAGGTTAACCCTAAATTGATCTATCCCAATCTAGAGCTTGAGGATCTAGTCCTAAAGTGATGTTCACATGAACTTAAATAAACTGAAAGGGCAAAAGGTTATTGACCACAGGAGATGACAATCCAGGCAAAAATCATTAAGATCAAGTGAGTTTGGTAAGGATTGTCAAGATTAAATTGAAATCCAAACAAGGACGTCAGTTTCACAGGTGGTGAAAATGATAGTGCGATGATATGCTAATGGTATATCCCAAGAGTTGATAATAACAGTGACTGGAATACTGAGGTTAGTCTCTATAATAATATTCTATAATAACTTGCTTTCTGCAATAATGAACCAGCAGGTTTAGGTGGATTTAAACTAGTAGTAGGATTCTCACTCCTGCGGAAGTTCCACTGATGTGTAGGCACATCTTCGTAGTGTTTAAATGAATGCATAAGTTGGATAATAGTGGTTGGCATAGCTAATCTTATAGTAATATAGGCATTAGGCAGTGTTAATCTGCAGATTAATTTGTAGAAACATAGAAGGTATCCATATATCAACCGATTTCTAGTTAATTTGTAGAGACACTTGGTGTTTGTTTGGATATATAACGTATTAATAAAGATCACATACTGTGTGTACGTTCCACTATAAAAAAAAAAAATAAATAAAATATAAAATTAAATTTTTTTTTTTTTACGTTAATAAATATCAGTTCTTTATTTTCTGTATATACTAAAATATAACTATGAGAAAGAACCTATATCTCTCACAATACATGAGTTAAATACTAGCTTACCAATGATATCTATCTAAACTATATTAGAAAAGAAATTTTAAAACTAATATGTTGTTTAGATAGTTGCACAACAGGCCATGCGATTTGTAAGAAAATGAAATAAAAGTAAAAAATTCTAGTATATATTAATATTAAACAGAACTTTTCACATTATAATTTCGGCTCACGCAGTTATAAGATTAGAGAGGGGTTAATATAGATATGTACTTCCTAGTAAATACTCTGAAACTGTAATCTTTGATTGGCACAAACTACCAAATCTAGGGACTTTAATGGTCAAGTGGGACATGACTCCAAAATCTCCTAATAGACACTCCAAAGGATTCGGTTGGCTTAAGCTGCCAAATCTAGGAGCAAAATTGCCAAGCAAGACGCAACTCCTACATATTCGGTAAGCCGTTAACACTACCATGATGGACTTATATGTTAGTGTCCATATTATCACTCTCTTCAAAGTTATCTGATTAATATTAATACGTGATAAGAAGTTGTTAGTAGTTGTTATTGTTGTTGGTATTGTTGTTGTTGACGTTATTGTGGCTATAAATAATATGATTTTGATGATATGTGATTGGTTAAGGTAAAATATTGATTTTTTGATGGGAGTAAATTGATTTCGGTTTTTGTTGTAAGGGAAAAAAAAAAGAACCAAGGTATTTCTATGTATATGAGTGAAAAAGATGTCAAACCAAAGGCCTTTCTCTATGCAACCTTCATCCACAAGATACTCAGTCTTGAGAAGTTTGACCAAAAGTTCCATCCTTATGCAGCTTGAGTCTTTACAATCAAACTCTTGAAATTGGCTTATATGTAATAGGTCTTTAATATATGGAAAGCTTGTTGTATTGGTTTTGGCAGAGATAACTCTTTGTCTTGAAGAAAAGGAACTGGTCTTTCATCCAATATGCCTAGACCTTGACCTTTCTGCCCGTAATACCTGGGATTACTCAACCTAAACCTCTTAGGCTATAGCAGAAAGGGGACAACCAGACTTCTTTTCTAGAAGAGGATTTTTATTCTCGATAGTGGTAAAAGAAAGGAAAAAGTTTCTTTGAAAGAAAAAATAACTTGACAAGCCCTCCAATTCTTGTCTCGTTAAAATTTCCTAAAAAGGAAAGTTTTTCAAATAATTGAGAGGAACAGGAAAGAGTTTTTTTTTAATATAAAATTAAATTGTGAATAATAATTATATATATATATATATTTTTTTTTTACTGCAAATAAACATAAAATGCGAGACTTTATTTACTAATTGATAGTACTGTCATTACATTAAGAATCTTACATCACCTCATTCAGTGGGAGTTAATCCTAGCCTATTGCATATATAACTTTTAATGCTACATTACACTAAGTAAGTGGTGCTACACCAAAAGTGATCCATGAATGGCTTATGCCTATCCATAAACAGCTAAGTTAGGGTGGGTAGGAATATTTTTTTTAGTAGTATGGAAGATTTTCAGGAATTTAATCTTGATTTGGTAAGTTTTTATTAAGTCTTTGTGTGATGTTGTTATTGTTGTTGTTCCTAACAGGTTAATATCAGTTTGGTTCTTGTTGGATTGAAATGTTAGAATTGGATTGGTCATTGAGATTGTGTAAATCATTTGGAGGTGTTAAGCTAGTTTTGGTTTTTGATTTTGAGAAAATTTTTGTAATCATTGAGGTGACGTAGTAAAGCATACTGTATTGTTGTTTGGAAGGGTTTGGTTGAGACAAGTAGGAGAACTCAAAACTTTATTTAAATGTACTTTTAGAAAAATATTGGTGATGTTGAGAATGGTGAAGAGGATGGTTATCATGAAAGTAGTAAAGGAAGAGATGTATAAAGACAAAGTTAAGAAAGAGGACTGCCATAGGTCTTTCTCCATGCAACCAAAGAACAAACAAAACTCTCAAACTTGTTTGGCCTTTGATCAGAGGTTCTATTCCAATGCAACAGTAGTGTAACAATACAAATGGTGAAAGGAG